CCCACATTCCCCCACCTTAGTTCATGTCCATGGGTCATACATATAAGTTCTTTGGCTTCTCCATTTCCCATACTATTCTTAACCTCCCCCTGTCTATTTTGTATCTACAGTAACCTTTATCTGTGAGATTAGAAAGGAAAGAGTGCTGAGTAAGCGTTTCTTTCTTGATCATGTATGGCATCTCCCAGTTCTTAGATTTTCTCTCCTACTTTCTTGAGAGAATAAGCTTCTAGGCTTCTGCTAGTGTTGCTGTGTAGAAGTGAATAGAACATCATAGTTGTAGGATTAAACCAGTTTTCAAATTGTCTAATTGAACAGTTTCTCAAGTAATTTTCCTTAGTTCAGCATGCCACTTGTACCTCCATTCCCAGAATTACTCAAAGCCACCAATTCCTGGCTGTTTTGGAAGATTCTGTAGTGTAAATCCAGTTTCTTCTTGGATTTCCCAGTTGACAGCCCAAGGTTCTGCTTAGGGTTTTCTAAGTTAGTTTTCAATTATGTTTATTTTTTCTACTTCCTAAAATTTTATTACCCTGGCTTCCTCTTCCTTAAGAATTTATGAAGCTCTCCCCCAATTTTAAACAATTTTATGATTATTTTATTGGACAGTGAAGGTTAAGGCTTTCATTCAATTTACCATCTTTAGTTGGAAGTCCTCAAGCAATTTTAAAACTATAACAGGCTGCTGGGGGAGCATTGGGAGGAGTGTCATGCAACCAATATGAGCAGGATTCATGGGACAAAAAACCTCCTTAGAGGAAATTATATTTAAGTGATATTTAAGTTGAGACCTAAAAGATGAATAGGTATTAGCTAGATTGGTGAAAAGGCAGGAAGACACTATTACAGAGGGAACAGTGTTATACAGTAAAAGATGAGGCCAAGAGGGAGCAATTGCAAAGTGGGACATGGAAGAATGGTGTGTGATGAAGCTGGATATGAATTAAGAAATATTAGAGGGAAAATGGACAGTACCTATTGAATTATAAGAAATGGTGCACTGAGGGAGAGGGAGATGTTGAGGATAAAACTTGAGTTTCTGGTTTGGTGAATAGTCATGTCAAATACTGAGTGGAGATCTGGTAGAGAGGACAATTAATATAATATATGGGACATTTGAGGCAAAGTATACAGTAGGCACTGGGATATTTAGATGTGCATAGGAGAAAGGTTGGCATGAAAATAGAAGTATGTGAATATACATACTTAGGCAGGAAAATCTTGGATTGCATTGAGGAAATGTTTTCTTCATATATCTGTAAATGTTTTCTCACTGTCTTGTTGAATTGAAGATTGCAGTTGAGAATTATGAAGTTTAGAAAGTATTGTTTGGGTTGCAATGTACAGAAACCCAACTTTTTGTTTAGGAACAAAAAGGAATCTTGGTTCACAAAACAAGTAGGACCAAGTAGGAATGTGAGAAGGGCAGTTTCTGAAATACAAGAATGCTACCTAGACAAAGAACAGGAGACCACCAATGATATCCCTCTAATTCTTTCTGTTTGTAGGTGATCAATCCTGATAGGATGTTTTGAACATATTATTCTTATAAAATATAAAAGCATGTGACTGAAAGTCTCAGTCTTGGTTAAGCAATATGGATTAAATCATACCCACAAGTTTCTGGGAGTGCTATGTCAGTCAATACTCTTGAATAGATAGCCAAAAAAGGAGGTTAAGAATAATTACAATCAGTTCATAAACATTAAAGTTAACTCTCTGCTTAATCTGTCATCATAAAGCTGGGTTTCTATATACTTTGTTTACGAAAAAGGATACAGAGCTTTTTCTATAACATTGAGAGATAGACTTGTTTTAATATGTATCTTCCAAAGAATGTTGACTTGTAATCTTGAGATTGTTTGATAAATGTTTGTGACAGAAAATTATATTGGTTCACTTAAAGTTGCAAACTATATTTGTCATAAGAGATTGCATTTGCTCACCAATCTGATAATTAACTCACTATGTTCTCAGTGATCTTATCAATAACTCAACCAGCATGATAAAAGTGGATTTTTTTGGTGTTAACAAGTGTCTGTTTTCCTACTTGGCTGGGTTGATGCCACTAAACAATACACAGTCTCCTTCTTCCTTATTATCCTTGGATCTTTAACATTGGTCCTAGGCTGTGTTCTGTTGTGGCCTTTCTTTAATTCTGCCTTGTACTGAGAGACTCTGTTTGATCTGAAGATTCAAATTTTTTAAGTTATTATCATTTTATGTCAAAGAAATGTTTTCTATTGTTTTATTTGACCACATCCCCTCTGATCTTTCCTTCAGGACTTTCAATTTTTATTGTGATAAGAACACTTAACATCAGTCTATCCTCTTAACAAATTTTGAAGTGCTCAATACCTTCTTAACTATAGAAACTATGTTTTACAGTAGCTCTCTAGTACTTATTCATCTAGCATAACTGAAACTATACCTGCTGAACAGAAACTCCTCATTGCTCTCTCAGTCTGCATCTATATAAGCTCTTCTCCTAGATCATGGTTTCATTTCTAATTTAAATTTTTATTTTGCATCTCATAAATCATATCACTTTTTACTGAGTTCAATTTACTCTAACTCAGTAATTTGTTTTTTGAAAGTGTCCATTGTGCTATTCAGTGCCTCTGTATTCTAAATATCATTGCCCACATTTTTATTTCAAGCGGAACAACACAACTCTCAAAGTCCATTTGTTTGTACGTGTCGATGTCTTATTTAACTGCTTACTGAGGAAAGTGGCAGGAAGACAAAAGAGCTGGTTCTGAGAACATTTGGGAAATAGAGATGTATATAGTCAATGGGAAAAGAATGCCAAAACAAGATTATTAAATTATACTATTTCAGATTTAATCAAAGATAATTTGTGTAGCAATTGCCTTTTATAAGTGTACTTTGTGGCAAAAGCTCCTTGAATATTCTCTAACAAAACTTACTGTGAATCAATGAAATAGTCAGCAGTGTTACCCTTTGGAACCTATAAAAAAGATTATTAAATTAGACATAAGAGTTCATAACCTTTTACAGAAAATAAAACCATATCACCTTTAGGGTTAACTTCTCTTATCAGGCTATAAAGCAAAACAACATATTGATTTCTGTAAATTAACCTCTGACCTTAAAAGAATCTCACAGGACTATAAACCATTTGCACCTTGATCAGTTGTGCTATGGGATTATATGCACTGTGATAGCTATGGTATAGTCCCCCCAAAAGATGAGATTAGGGTCAAGCAGGATTATTAGAAAATGCTCTAGCATAAAAAAACCCCCACAACTATTCTGTTGCCTTTTCTGAGATTGCAATACAATTTTCTCTTATCCTATTAACTCCTGTTTTCAAATTGCCCTGGATTGCAAACTTTGGATGTTTCTTCCACCTGCTCTAGGGCATATCCTTGCCTCTCACCCTCTTTACCATCCAAGAGATGTTTGTGTGTCATAGTGAAGGGAGCAGGCAGATATAAGAAGCAGTAAGCCCTTTAAAACTTTATGTGTTGGCTACGGAGCAAGTGGGGGCAGGTTCCTCTTGTGTGGTGGATGTGACAGACTGGAGTGTTTTCTCTCTGTTTTCATCAGCTCGGTTTTCTTCTGACTTGATATTTCAACTATCTAAATGGGTCTCTAGTTTTTAGTCCTGGTATAAAATTTCCTCCTTGTGACATTCTTGTTGTCAGTTCAGGAGTAAGTTAGCTGAGGGAAGGACTAAAATGAGTGCATTATTAAAATTACAGTGGTGTATCTCCTCTCCCAGATAGCTATGGATTTCCCTCATTTTTCTCTAGAAATACAAAAAAATATGTACTTTAGAAGCCTATTATGATTGTTATCTTTCTTGGTCACCACCATTTCAAGGGGACATAGTCATTTTATTTCAAGGTTCCCAATACCCCTGTGATTCTAACATTATATTTTTTGTTGATTAGAATTAATACCAAATGGCTTTTTAAAAAAGATTTTGTTTATTTATTTCTACAGAGAGAGGAAGGAATGGAGAAAGAGAGGGAGAGAAACGTCAAATGATTGCCTCTCACATGCCCCCAACTGGGTATCTGGCCTGCAACCCAGGCATGTGCCCTGACTGGGAATCAAACCTTTGACCTTTTGGTTTGCAAGCTGATGCTCAATCCATTGGGCCATACCAGCCAGGGCCAAATGGCTTTATTTCTACTTCTTTCTGAGATTTTTTTTAAAGCTATGCACCCCTTAAAATCTTATTAAATCTTTGCACATTCCTTTCTGAAAAAGGCACATAAGCATTCATAGATAATGTTGTATCTGATCCAGAGGATTTGGGGGAGGCTCCTGAATCCCATCTATGAGATTCAGTTTAATAACACTAGTTTTTGAGGTAAGACTATGCTACTAACAGTGCCCCAGGATGGCTAAATAAGATAATTATTTCTAAGGAGGCAAAAATAAACTTTTAGAAACCCTCACCTGAGGATATATTTATTAATTTAAGAGAGAGAGGGAGGGGGGAGAGAGAGAGAGAGAGAGAGATAAAGAAACATCAATCAGCTGGATTGAACCCGCAACCTAGGTGTGTGCCCTGACCAGGAATTGAACCTGCAACTTTTTGGTGTACAGGATGATGCTCCAACCAACTGAGCACCCAGCCAGGGCCAAAAATAGATTTTAATATAGTACTTCTTACATTAGCTCCATTTTGCAGACTGTTAAAATGTTTTGCCTTTTGGTTTCAAGGCTGTGGTGCTATAATCTCCAAATATGTTTTGTTCCATGCTTGACTAGGATAATAAAAAAGTGAGAGTTTTATTTTAAATATTCAAAGCCTAATCTGAAATGCTTACATCATGAATATCTCTGCCAAGTTTAAATACATTGTTTTTCTACAGAGGAGGAAGTGGTGGCTATGTGAGAGACCTAATTTGTCAGCAGGAGAATGCTTTCCAGATGGGTTTCCATGTATATATATATATATATATATATATATATATATATAGTCAGTGTTCAAGCAGCTGTAGAAAAGCTTAGGAGTTAAATAGGATGCAACACTCCCATAAAATGCTGGATTAATGACAACTCCTTTGGGAAGCTTCAGGGCAGTGTGTGCTTGGACTGCATACTTGAAATACGTAGAAAAATGATAGCACCAAGGCAATGTAGGGCAGGAAGTAACCCAGAGGCCAGGCTCAGGGGTAGAAGGCAAGTCTGAGAGGCATGCTGGACTGGAGTTAGGGAATGGTCTGGGCCTAGAAAAGAGGGGCAAGGGGACTGGCAAGGGCTTTGCTTAAACTGGGACAGTCCAGGCCAAACTGGGATGGTTGGTTATCCTAGTGCTACCAGGTTAATAGGGGTGGGAGGGGGCACTTAAGAAAATCCTATGATTATAATAAAATATAAACAATTATATTTTACTACATTTTATGGAGGAAATTCTACATTATAGTTGTTTTATTGGATCAGGAGAATTTATGAAGGTCTCAGAACTATTCCGTTGAAAATGCCAAAGGTCTTGTACTTTATTTCTTGTTATGCTCAGTACAGCTGCTGTGCCTCACAGCCCAGAACCTCCAGCCTCAGGGCAATCTGGTGCATCCAGCTCTTGGGGTGAATTCTAAGGTAGCGAGTCAGCAGTGGTGGGTCTAGAGAGTTCACCACAGGTCTGAAGGAGTCTTGATTTCCCTGAAAAACCTGAAAGAGTAATGATAGCATTTATTAGTTGTCCAACAAGAAAAAAAATAGCTTCCCCGACATGGAAGCTTCCCCGGCCAGGGAAAGTGGGTGTGACATCTAGAATTAAGAGCACCCTGCTTGCCTGCTGTGGAGGCCTTTGTCTTTAATTCTTGGATGATGCTAACTCTTTTTATCATGAGAGCCTTTGTATATGTGGTTCCCTGTGCTCAGAATGCTCTTATGCCTTCTGCTGCTCCATTTTCATCTTTTGGGTTTCAGTTTAAATGCCATCTCTTTAGAGAGATCCATGCCACGTAAAACAGGACTTTCATTGACTCTAAACCTCAACTTCACTTTCTTCACAGCATTCAATATTTTCTAGTTTATTCATTTACACGGTTATTGACTGTTCCCTGTTTTCATTACCAATTGTCAGTTCCATGAGAGTAGAGACCTTACTCACTGTAGAATATAAAGCATAATGTATATACATGGCAAATACACTGTAAACATTTGTTGAAGTTTGAGAAACATTAAGGTTCCTGTTCTGAGATTGTTTAAGAAATGTTTATGCTATATTTGGAGGCTTGCACATATGTTAGACTTATTTCCGGTTATTTCCCCTCAGGTTTTTATTTTGAAATATTATCAACTTCAAGAAATTGAAAGAACAATAAAATGAACACTTAAACATTCAACTAGGAACATCAATTGTTAACATATTGATATGTTTACTTTCTTTACACACACACACACACACACACACACACACACACACACATTTTCTGAACTACCTGAGAAGAAGTTGTAAAAATCATGGCATTTTACTCTCAAATACTTCAACAAACCAAACATAAAAATGTCATTTTTATACATAACCACAGGATAACGTTACTATACCTAACAAATGTGATATTGATATCACAATAATATATTTATATAGTTTTTCCAATCCAGAACTTGATGAAAGATCACACATTGCTTTACTGTATATCTCTTTGAATCCCCTTTAATCTATTGTAGAAGAGCCTCCACTCTGATCTTTTATTGTCCTTCATGATATTGGTATTTCAATCTATCTATCTATCTATCTATCTATTTATTTATTTATTTATTTGGATTTGGAAAACTTACTTTGGAAATTTTTGACACTTTTTTTTCTCTTGTAGTGTTTTTTTTTTAATTTTATTATTATATATTTTTTTTAGAGAGGGAAGGGAGAGAGAAAGAGAGATAGAGAGAAACATCAATGTGGGGTTGCTGGGGGTCATGGCCTACAACCCAGGCATGTGCCCTGACTGGGAATCAAACCTGCGACACTTTGGCTCGCAGCCCATGCTTAATCCACTGAGCTACACCAGCCAGGGCTGACACTTACTTTAAAAAAAATATTTTATTTATTTATTTTTAAAGAGAGGGGAAGGGAGGGAGAAAGAGAGGGTGAGACACATCAATGTGTGGTTGCCTCTCGGAGGTCCCCAACTGGGGACCTGGCCTGCAACCCAGGTATGTGCCCTGGCTGGGAATCGAACTGGCAACCCTTTGGTTTGCAGGCTGTCACTCAATCCACTGAGCCACACCAGCCAGGGATGGGCACTGACATTTTTAAAAGTCTAGGAATATTGTGCTGTAGAATGTCCCACATTCTAAATTTCTGTGACTGTGTTCTAATTATTACATTTTGGTTAAACATTTTTAGAGAATACTGTAGTAGGTGATGTGTCCTTCCTACCACATCACATCAGGGGACACATGATAGCAGTTTGTCCCACTATTGATACAAAGTTTGATCACTTGGTTAAGGTGGTGTCCACCAGATCTCTCTGTTACAAAGGTGGCTATTTCCCTTTCCAAACAAACAATCTGTGACACCATGTAAATAATCTGTTCCCCATTAAGCTTTTATCCAAAGGTTTTAGTATCCATTAAAGTTCCTTACAAAAATTACATAGTATATTGATAGTTTCAAACTGATTTTCTAATCTTGTCATTTCTTCCACATTTTTATCTCATAGCGGAAGGCAAAGAACAGACTGAACCAAACACACAATCACATTTAGAAATTCTTTATTTTTCCTTGTTCCAGCAATACAAGGTGCTTTTGTAAAAGGTTTGGGAGATGTATTAGATTTCTTAGTACAGGAGTACCCCCTACTGTTGATAAAATGAAACACAATTTATTTCTTTAATGGGGCAGTAAGAGGTTTGTTTCTTGTGATTTTGTGATTTGTTTTTGGTTTTACACGACACTTAATTTCCACCACTTGACTTTTTTTTGGTTCATCACCAAGCCTCCAAGATATGTATCTTCCTTCAACAGAAAAAACTGCTTTTGCAAATCCGCCACCTCCAGTTCCACACACTTTCAATCTCTTTCCTTTCAGCTCTCCACAAGCCAATGCTATGATCCAGCAGGTCTCAAATATTGGTGCTTCATCACTTGGGGTGTGACTTTCTCTTTTTAGAAGTGATTTCATCTGTGTTTTACCATTACTAGGTCTTACATTGACCTTTCCTCTTTTTTTTTTTGCAGTTTCTTCTGAACTCTCTTCAGAGTGAGTTCTGGAGCTAGGTCAGCTAGCTTTGCAGGTTTATTTCCTACTTACTTGCAAATTGAAACTTATAGTATTTTCTGTCTTCCAGTTATTCTGTAGGTGAGTTACCAATGGTTTTATTTTATCTATCTATCTATCTATCTATCTATCTATCTATCTATCTATCTATCTATCATCTATCTGAAAACTGTATGGAAAGACTTAGGCCTTGAAGAGATACCGTGTGGATAGAAACATCAAGACTTGTGAGCGAGGAAGCCATCTAGGAAGTGGATCCATCTCTCTATTCCCACTGATGTCACATGGCTCACAGACAAACCAGCCAGCCAGATTGACCTAAATCCCTGATCCATAAATTCTAAGTTTTTGGGTAGTTTCTTATGCAGCAATACATAATTTGTTCAGTGGGCATCCTTATCTTATTCTCAATCTCAAAGGGAAAGTTCTCTGTGTTTTCACCTAAAATGTATTTGTTGTAAGAGTTTTGTGAATGCCCTTTATCAGACTAAGAAACTTCCCTTCTAGCCCTGACTGGTGTGGCTCACTAGATTGAGTGCTGGCTTGCCAACTGAAAGGTGCCACACCCTCTTCTAACCATGTTTTTTGACAAGGTCTGAACATGGAAAGAGGGCATTCAAGGAATCCATCTTCCTGGAAGAGAGCGTGACATACAAAGGGGGGCAGTAACTTTTCTGGGGATTGCTTTTAATAATTTCCTTGCTAATATTAATCATGGTCTTACTTTGTACCCTGATTCCCATAAGAACAGGCCATGAGAAGAAAGAGGCTTGAAAAGAGTCAATGATTGATTTTGAGGGAAATTCTGAAGGGACAACTAGTTCTCCCTAGACTATTGAATCATGCCCAGATTGTTTTAAATAAGGTGTTTATAAACCTGAGTAAGAAATTATCCCTGATTGTTCCCATAAAAGAATTCATAAATCAGTTACAATAGGTTGAATTATTGGTGGACTTTCCCATGCCTGTTCCTTACCCATAGATACAAAGAGTCTTTCAAGAAAACGAGAAAAAACTATATAGACCCTTACCCACAGCCCAGGGATACCCCTGGGTAGCATATTAGATTATTGGCAAATTATGGTATCCCCCAAAAGGAGCTAATAGTCTCCAGAGGGTTCCAGATCTCCCATTGCCTTATACAGGAGCATATAATGAGGGTGGCATTAGAATGGTCCATTAGGATGACGTTCAAGTGTTTTATAATAGTCTAAATTTCATGGAAAGGCTAGCTCAAAGCAGACCTCCCTGGTGTTTATTAACTAAGGAACAGAAAGGGTTTACTATAGCTGAATTTCCTGTTTATCTCTCCTTACATGTTTGTTTTGGAGATTAAAAGGTGGTGGGATTGTTAGATACCTGTATCTCAGGTTTATTGATTCGCATAATTCCTATGAAGTTGTATAAAATAATTTCTTGACCAAAGAATAAAATCCCCTCTAATGAAATAGCCCCTGAATGTCTAAAAGTTGTTGGAGTAACAGCCCTGCTTTTACCTTGAATAGGAGTATATATCAAATAGAATTAGACAGGCAAAGAAATAAGAAAAGCTGGTTAACTATTATAAATTAAGCACATAGAAACAGTTACCAGGGAGTTAGAGTCCATGGTACATAGAGAAATATTTTAGACAGAAAAGGTAAATAGGTAAGTTAGACATCACAAAGGCCTTATAATAAATTTCCTATAACCTCTATTCAATTTAGCGTATCCTTTTGCCCCACGATAAATTCTGAGAACTTTAATAAACAATAAGACATTCACATTCTGTACGTACAGCTATTTCTAATTGTCTGATTTATGGCTCTCCTGGTTAAAATAATCTTTGCTTAATATAACTGAATCTATGGGAATTTTTGTACTTTTCCTGGTTACCTTTGTATCAATTTTTTTCTGCTTTACCTAATTGCAAATGTCAATCACTGCTAAAAATGAAAGTATAAAAACCTGCTTGTACTTGCAATAAACGGAACAGAGCATCACTGTCCTCTGAGGCGTGTTGTCGTCTGTCTCCCATGGCCGACGCCTTACCCACCTTTCAGGAACCCCTGGACCTAGCTGCGGCTGGACCACGGCAGAAAGGTCACTGGTTCTATTCCCAGTGTGGGGCACATGCCTGGGCTGCAGGCCAGATCCCTGGTTGGGGACTTGTGAGAGACAACTGATCAATGTTTTTCTCCCTTTCTTTCTCCCTCCTTTCCCCTCTCTCTAAAAATAAATAAATAAAATATTTTAAAAAATTTCCCTTCTGGTCTCATTTTGTTAACTTTTTCATTAAGAATAGATGTTGAATTTTATAAAATGCTTTTTTTCAGCATTTATTGCTTATGTAATCCTTCAGCCCAGTAATGTGATGGACTATATTAATTTTCTAATGTTAAAGCCAACACTGCATTCCTAGGATAAATCTAACTTGGATACATATTGCTCATATTTTATTTTGGATGTATATTCATGAATAGAATTAGCCTATTATTTTCCTTTCTAATAGAATTGTCCTTGTTGGGTTTTGTCCTCATCATAAGAAGTTGGATAATGTGCACTTTTTTCATTTTTCTAAAAGAATATTGGTATTATTTTTCCCTTCAAAATTTGATAGAGTATTGCATGTAGCCATCTGGATCTGGAGTTTTCTTTGTAAAAAGATTTTGAACACCAATGCAATTTCTTAAAGGGTTTAGGAGTTCCAAGTTTTCCTTTTCCTTTAGTAAGTTACATTTACTATCAATTAATTAATTTAATCTAATTTTCAAATTTACCGATAAATAGTAAATATCCTATTAATTTTTATGTTGGGAGGATTTTACTAGATTGTAAAATCACTCATGTATGTAGGAAAATTTCTTAGCTTTTGCTGTAATGCATTAGAGAAATTTTCACTTGACTTTTTTGTTTTGGCAGGGAGGTTTCAGATTTTTCCTTAATGTAAATATTATTAACTATCTTCTGATTTCCATTCTTGTTTAGAAATCAGCTGTCAACTCATCACCCTCATTATGGTAATGTATGTGTCCTCGTTTCTTTTTGTTGTGGTAAAATGTATATAAAATAAAATTTACCATCTTGCCCATTTTAAAGTATGTTTTCTGCCTCTAGATATATGTTTATTCTGGGTATTTCATATAAATGGAATTATACAATATGTGGCTTTTTATGTCTGGCATCTTTCACTTAGCATGTTTGAAAGTTTCATCCACGTTGTAGCATGTATCAGTACTTTTGTCTTGTTGAAGCTGCTAAATGCATTCATCTCCAAGTTTTTGTCAATTGCATATTTTCAATTCTTTTGGATATGTACCCAGTAGTGGAATTGCTGGCTCATATGGAAATGCTATGTTTACCTTATTGAGGGACCACCAAAATGTTCTCTATGGTGGCTGCCCCATCTTCCATTCCCATCAGGAATGTGGGTTCCAGTTTTTCTACATCCTTGCTAATACTTTTTATTTTCTGTATTTAAAAAAATATATAGCCATACTAATGGGTGTGAAGTGATATCTTATTTTGCTTTTGATTTGCTTTTTCCTAATGATGAGTGATGTTGATGCTCGTTCATGTGTTTGTTGGACATTTGTATATCTTCCTTGGAGAAATGCCTGTTGAAGTCTTTTGTCTATTTTTAAATTCAATTGTTGCTTTGTTATTGAAGTTAAGAGTTCTTTTATATCCTGGATACTAGATCCTTTACCAAACAGGATTGGCAAATATTTTTTTTTCCCAATGAGTGGGTTGTCTTTTCGATTTGTTGAGAGTAGCCTTCAATGCATGAAAAAATTTTAAAGAAGTCTACTATATCTATTTTTTTTGTGATCATGGTGTCACACCTAAGAAACCATTGTCAAATTCAAGGTCATCAATACTTACCCCTATAATTTTTGCTAACAGTCTCAGAGTTTTAGCTCTTATATTTAAGTATTTGATCAATTAACTATTTTTTATATGGTGTGTGGTAACAATTCTTTTGCATGTGGATATCCAGTTTTCCCAGCACTATTTGTTGAAGAGACTATTCTTTTTCTATTGAGTGGTCTTGGCATGCTTACTGAAAATTAATTTATTACCCTGGCTGGTGTGGCTCAGTGGATTGAGCAGTGGCCTGAGAACCACAGAGTCGCTGGTTTGATTCCCAGTTGGGGCACATGCTTGGGTTGTGGGCCAGGTCCTCAGTAGGGGGTGCAGGAGAGGCAACCACACACTGATGTTTTTCTCCCTCTCTTTCTCCCACCCTTCCAGTCTGCCTAAAAATAAAATAAACAAAATCTAAAAAAAGAAACCAATTTTTTAAAAAAGAAAATCAACTTATAGATGTATAGGCTGATTTCTGGACTTCAATTCTACTCCACTGATCTATCTTTATGTCAACACCACACTGTTTTGATAACTGCAGCTTTGTAGTAAGTTTTGAAATTGGGAATTGTGAGTCATCCAACTTTGTTCTTTTCAAGATTGCTTTGGCTAGTCTGGGTCCCTTGAAATTCTATATGAATTACTAGAACAGCTTGTCCATTTCTGCAAAAATGTCCACTGGGATTTTAATAGGGATTGCACTGGGATTTTGATAGGGATTGCACTGAATCTGTAGATAGCTTTGGATAGTATTGTCATCTTAACACTATTAAGCCTTCCAAGCCATGAACCTGGGATATCTTTCTATTTATTTAGATTATCTTTAATTTTTCAGCACTGTTCTGTAGTTTTCAGTGTACAAGCTTTGCAGCTCCTTGGTTAAGTTTATTCCTAAATATTTTATTCTTTTTTATGCTATTGTAAATAAAATTATTTTTCTAATTTCCTTTTTGGATTTTTCATTGCTTATGCAACTATTTTGTGTGTGGATCATGTATTCTGCAACTTTGCTGAATTCATTCATTAGCTCTAAAAGTTTTATTTTTGTAGATTCCTTAGGATTTTCTACATATAATATCATATCATTGGCAAAGGGAAATAGTTTTACTTGATTATTTCCAATTTGGATGGCTTTTATTTCTTTTTCTCACCTAATTTCTCTGGCTATAACGTCCAGTACAATGTTGAATAGAAATGACAAAAGTGGTCATCCTTGTTTGTTTGCTACTTCTCCACTATTTCTTTCCTTTCATTCTGAAATTCCAATTATGTATGTTAGGCTTTCTCTCCATGACATATTTGTCTTAATTTATTTTTTATATGCTTCATCTCCTGTGCTGTTCTGGGTAATTTCTTCAGATATATCTTCCATATATCTTCCGATTGACTCAATTCTCTTTGTGCCTAATTTGCTATTGTTTTTTTTTATTTTAAAACTTCAACAATTATGTTTTTATTTCTAAAAGTACTGTTTTCCCCCAGAAACTACCTTATAATTTTAGATAATTTATCATTTATTTTTATGATTCTATAGTTCATTGCTTTAAATATTTTATGCATAATTATTTCATAATATATATCTGATAATGTCAATTGGATGTTGTTCAGGTTCTAAATCTGTATTGATTATTTCTGCTCACAGTCTAGTAGTTTTGTTGTGTTTTATGATTGCTGATCTATGTTTATGATCTTATTGCTTTAATATGTGGGAATCCTGGAGGCCTAAACTAGGAGTGCTTTCTTCTAGAGTGGATTTGAAAATGGGTCTTCCAGATGTCAGGAGGTGTTACTTATTTGCAACTACTTTATTTTTTTTTCTTTGAAAAATTTTTTATTGTTATTCTATTACAGTTGTCCCCATTTTTTCCCCTTTGCCCTCCTCCGCCTAGCCTACCACTCCCCCCACCCCAGTCAATTCCCACACTTTTGTCCATGTCCGTGGGGTCATTCATATGTGTTCTTTGACTAGGCCCTTACCCTTCTTTTCACCATTATCTATTTTAGCTCCTTCTGGGTTCATTACCTACTCAAAGCAGAAGTCTCACATTCAGTTTTCCTTGCATTTTGCTCAAAACTTTGTGTCCTGACAACAACACTAATATAAACATTTCCCTTAGGAAAGTTTCTTTATTTTACATTGTCTCATTTTCACCTCTCTTTGCTCTGATTTAAGATCATTATTTTACAATAAAAGTTCTTAGAAAGCATTATACTAAGCGAAATAAGCTAGGCAGTGAAAGACAAATGCCATATGATCTCACCTTTAACAGGAACCTAATCAACAAAGCAAATGAACAAGCAAAATATAACCAAAGACACTGAAATTGAGAACAGGCTGACAGTGACCAGAGGGGAGAGGGGAGGGAATTTCAGGGGAAAAGGGTGAAGGGTTTGCAGGAACAATTATAAAGGACACATGGACAATAACGGGGGCAGGGAGTGGTGTGGAAACAGGAGAGTGGTGGGGAGGGCTTGGGGGTTGGGCTGGGGTGGGGAGGAAAGGCAGAAAACTGTACTTGAACAACAATAAAAAAAAGAAAAGAAAAAAGAGGTGGTTTTTTTGTTTGTTTGTTTTTTTGCTGTTGTTGGTAGGGACTATATACCCTTGCTTGGAGTCACTGTGTCCTCTCAAAATGCTTTTCATGGTGTCGCTCTATTACTATAGATACTCAGTAAAGTTTACCCTGAAAGTCTGATCATGTATCAACCCTAGCTATATCTTTAAATATCAAGCTTTAGGACAGATCTGTGCCTTTCCTATGATAGCAACATACCTTAACTTTGCCATTCTGAAGAAACGGAGTCCAGTTATGGCCATCTTGACTACTGGAGATGAGGAACTCCTTCACATACATGTTGGTAAGGAGAGATTTCGCCCCCTGGGTGGTTATTCCTGTAACTTTCATTGTCTTCCGGAAGTCCACTTGTAGCCACTCTTCTGGATTATTCACCTGAGGAAGTTAGTTAGACTAGTATCCTGTTGGTCACTAGTTGCTCCCAGAGATACCCAAAACCCTTCTTATTAACCATGTCACAGCACTTACACTCTGCATAATGATTTTAATCATTTGCTTGTCAACCTCCCTTTTTAGACTCTAAGTAACTTAAGGGCTAAAATTTTCATTATTTATTTCAGTATCCCCAGGGTCAGCTATTTAAAAGGTGCTTAGTAAATGCTTGCTGAATGAATATATGAGCCATATAGAGACTGACTACAGTATTGCAAGTTTAGCAATGTGTTCTATAACCTGTTTTGTTTAAAATAAGCCCCTGGAGGAAATACAATACAATACAATACAATACAATACAATGCAATACAATACGCAGAGACCATTAACTTCATTCATCCAAAAAAACACACACAAAACTATTCAGTGATTGAGAAATCACATACTGAGTGGTTCTGGGAAAGAACTGTGCCCAATGAAATCTACACGACTGTGACCCTTTTCTTTGAGGCACTGAGAAACCTGCAAAGAGAGCTAATTATTGATATTTCTCTCTATAAAACTAGACTTTAGCTACTACAGTTCTTTGACAGATAATAGCCTATTACCACATATAGAGATTCTGTTTACAGATGGTTGAATTAGGGATCATTTCCCCCAATAAATGCTGTGTGAAATCACATGGCGCCACTAAATATCTCTGGGTTTTTCTGTTCACAGTCAACCTTCCTTGACACTCTTCTGGAACAACTAGGTGACAGAAATACTTCTGAAGAAACAATCAAGGGCTTTCCTTATTGTTTCCCGACCACTACTTCCCATTCTGCATCAGTTAAATAGAAAATTTGTTGCCTCTTACCTGGGGTCTCCAGGCATTAGTCCTCCCCTGGAGGTGAAGTCGGGCTTGTGAAGGAGACCAGGTAGCAAACATATTGTTTAAGTAGGATGAGGCAGTAATCTGTGCATCTGATATTGCTTTACTCTCCATTCCTAGTGGAATGTTGCAACCTCAAAGAAATGAAAGCACAATGTAATCACAAGGACAAGAGGTAGCCTTGGTCCCACTAACCTGTCTCTACTGGCATTCTAGTACTACTGTCACCATGATGTCATTTATCAGGTATTAACTTTGCATTGATTCTGTCATTGTTAACATCCCCTTGTGTTTTGGTCAGCTCTGTTCAGCTTTGTTTGACTTCGATTTGCCATATTAATAGTAAAGTAGGAGGCGGCTGCCCATGAGGAATCTCATGGTTAGAATGACCAAGTCCTGGATTTGCCCAGGACTGTGCTGGTTTTAGCATTAAAGTTCTGTGTGCTGAGAAAACTCCCAGTCTCTGGAAAACTAGGACCATTAATTAATTATCCTACTCATGGTTGGGAGGTGGCAGGAGATGAGATGACTTGGTACTTACTGTTTAAATCACAGCCCATCAACTCCATGCGAAGAGTACTACGGAGGCTGTAGTGTGTTGGGTGCAAACGTATGTACCGAGCAATAATTGGAGGGTTAAAAATATTGTGTTTTATTCCAGATGAATCCACATTCCCAAAGAAAACCTGTAGAGGATTAGCACAGATACGTGTAAAGTGAAGACAGAGCAAAAAGCAATTCCTCCCAATTATATCTCCCTTCTAATTTTGCTTTGTTCATTTCTCAAAAGCAACCAACACTCAAAACCATTCTGGCTAGACAGGTGTTAGGATAGAGTTCATGAAGGAGAAAAACACGGAAGAGGAATGGAAAAAGGAAGATTAGGTATGTGCAGGTGAAGTAGTGTATTTTGGGGCCCTGTAAAATGTTCACCAACAGCTGAGGAAGCCATTTAGGGCTTTGCTAATCCAGTGTGGGCTACAGACCAGCAATATCAGCATCACTTCAGAGCAATTAGAAATATAATATCTTGGGCCCTATTCCAGATTTACTGAATCAGAACATGAAATTTGAGAAGCACTAGTTTAGGGCAGAGTCAGCTGTGAAATAAGACTGGGACTCAGTAGCTTATCATACTAGTTTCAACAATCTTCTAAGAATTTGGGCTCTGCAGTCAAGTGTTCTAACCAATGTCACCTCAATTTAAAAAAATGTGGGCTCTGTGTGTGTATGTGTGAACTGTGCAGCATTAATTAATTAATAATTCCTTATGTATGAATTCATGAAAAAATTGTTAATATCCAACATATGGAATTTAGGGCCTTGACATGTCTACATTCTAGAGAAAAGTACATAACATATTTAAGGGAAAAGGAACACAGTTTGAGAAATATGGTAGTAATGCCAATTGAAAAGACCTAGAATTAAAACATGCCTTATAGTATAAGAAAAGTTGAAAATTATATCTCATAAAATACTTGGTCCTCTGTATCTGCTTGAATACACTAATACATGAAATCAATGTAAGTTTGTTATACAGGGTGGGGAAAAGTGGGTTTATAGTTGTTCATATGGAAAATAATGCAATCATTAATAAATAATAATACAAGAATAAACTCTGTTTCATGTACTCACAACTGTAAGTCTATTTTCTGCCCCACCCTGAACCACATATCAGAGTTATAGTATTATGAGGAATTTAGAAAATTTTAAAAAATATTTCTCCTATGGGAGAAAAAATATTAATAAGTGTATAGCATTTCCCCATAAATTACAGCATTATTTTATAAGGGTATCTGCAACTGTACTTGAACAATGATTAAAATAAAAAAGAAAAAAAGAAAAAAATAAGTATGTGCTTCATTTTTTACTGAGTCCTTGTGTCTTGATTAGAAACCTTCTTAGAGAGACAATGCATTAATTCAACAAATAGTTAATGATTACACAAATTCTAAATTGTTTATATTATGTGCCAGGAATTGTCCTAGATGGTTTCACTGGTTAATTCTACTAAATGTATTTTTTTAGTATTAATTGGATCATTTATTTTCTTTTTAGTTTGTTTTCAACTTACTGATGTTAAAAAACCTTTCACAGTGATTGGGTTTCTGTTTTTTTCCCTCCTTCCCTAGATTACCTGCTAACTGAAGAAAAACTAGTGGCACATAACAGAAATGCTTACAGAAGCATCAAAAGTAACCACACAAATAAACAAGTAGAAATATTATAATCAAAGTAAGAGGTCAAGACAAATAAATCATTAATGATACAAAAATACCCTTTTACATTAAACCAGGTGGATCCCATTACTAAGATACAGTACTCACGAAACCTTATGATTTTCTAATTTGGCACTTATTTTATTTCATTTTTTTGTATTTTCAAACTATGTCTTTATGTCACTTAAAAGAAGAGGGGAATGGATAAGCTTATCTTTTGACCAAAGTAATAAAGTTTTCAGCTTTCCAGTTCCTCAACAATTGATAACATTTTTTTCATATGGGTTGCATTATTTTTCTAAAATTTTTTCTCTATTATACTTACATTCAATATTATTTTGTACTAGTTTCAGGTGTACAGCAGTGTGGTTAGACAATCATATACTTTACAAATGTTCCCCCTGATATTTTCAGTACCAAGCTGGCACCATACACAATTATTGCAATGTTACTGATTATATTTCCTATGCTGTACTTTACATCCCTGTGACTATTTTGAAACTACCAATGTGTAATTCTCTTTTTTTTTTATTGTTGTTCAAGTACAGCTGTCTCCATCCCCCCACTACTCCCTTTGGCTTTGTCCATGTGTCCTTTATACATATTCCTTGATAACTCTACTCCTTTTTCCTCCCATTATCCCCTCCCCCATCCCCAGTAGTTACTGTCAGTTTGTTCTTTATTTCAATGTTTCTGGTTATATTTTGCTTGCTTGTTTGTTTCATTTATTAGATTCCACCTATAGGTGAGATCATATGGTATTTGTCTTTCACCACCTGGCTTATTTCGCTTAGCATAATGCTCTCCAGTTCCATCCATGCTGTTGCAAAGGGCAGGAGTTCCTTCTTTCTTTCTGCTGTGTAGTACTCCACTGTATAAATGTATCATAGTTTTTTGATCCACTTATTTACTGATGGCCACCTAGGTTGCTTCCAACAGTTGGTGATTTTAAATTGTGCTTCTATGAACATTGGGGTAGCTAGTTTCTTTTGAACTGGTGTTTCAGGATTCTTAGGGTATGATCCCAGCAGTGGAATTGCTGGGTCAAAAGGTACTTTGATTTTTAGTTTTCTGAGAAAATTCCATACTACTTTCCACAGTGGCTGTACCAGTCTGCATTCCTGCCAACAGCGCACCAGGGTTTGCTTTTCTTCACAACCTAACACTTGTTTGTTGATTTGTTTTTGATGGCCATTCTGACTGGTACAATGTGTAATTCTCAATCCTTTCCACCTTTTTCATCACATGTCCCACCTTCTCATGTTTGGCAACCATCAGTATGTTCTCTGTATATGTGGATGTGTTTGTTTTTTACTGTTTTTTAGAATCCACCTATATGTGAAATCATATGGTATTTGTCTTTCTCTGACTGACTTTTCTCAGCATGATACCCTCTAAGAGCATGCATGCTTCTGGAAATGGTAAGATTTTGTTCTTTTTTTCTGGCTGAGTAATATTCCGTTGCATACCTGTACCGCAGGTTTTTATCCACTCATTTATTGATGGGAACATGGGTTTATTCCATAGCTTGGCTACTATACATAATGCTGCAATGAACATAGGGGTGTATATATTTTTTCAAATTAATATGTTGGGCTTCTTTAGATATATATCCAGATGTAGAATTGCTGAGTCATAAGGCAGTTTCATTTTTAATTTTTTGAGAAACCTCCATACTGTTTTCCATAGTGTCTGCACCAGTCTGCATTCTCACCAATAGTGCATGAGGGTGCCCTTTTGTCTAAATCTTGCCAACACTTGTTGTTTGTTATTTTATTGATGGTAGCCATGCTGACAGATGTGAGGTAATATCTCATTGTGGTTTTAATTTTCATTTCTCTGATGATTAGTGATATAGAGCATCTTTTCATATATCTATTGCCCATCTGTATGTCCTCTCTGCAGAAGTGTCTATTCAGGTCCTTTGCCCATTTTTTAATTGTATTGTTTGGGGTTTGTGTGTGTGTGTGTTTTTTTTTTAGTGTTGAGTTGTATGAGTTCTTTATAAATTTCAGATATAAGCCCCTTATCAGATGTATCATTAGCAAATATGTTCTCCCATTCAGTTGTCTTTCATTTTGTTGATGGTTTCTTTTTAGTTAAATGTAGTCCAGTTTGTCTTTTGTTTCCCTTGCCTGATGAGATATATCAGAAAAAAATATTACTATGAGAAATGTCTAAGATTTTGCTGCCTGTGCTTCTTCTAGGAATTTTATTATTTTGAGTCTTAAGTTTAAGTCTTTAATAGACTTTGAGTTTATGTGGTATAAAAAGCTGTCCTAGTTTCATTTTGTGCATGTATCTGTGCAATTTTCCCATTACCATTTCTTGAATGGACTGTCTTTACCCCATTGTATGTTCTTGCTTCCTTTGTCAAATATTAATTGACCATACAGGCATGGGTTTATTTCTGGGCTTTCTATTCTGTTCAATTTATCTATATATCTGTATTTATGCCAATACCACACTCATTTGGTTACTATGGCCTTATAGTATAGTTTGATATACATAACATGATTCCTCCAACTTTGTTCTTTCTCAGGATTGCTGAGGCTATTCAGGGTCTTTTGTGGTTCCATATAAAATTTTGGCTTGTTTGTTCTACTTCTGTGAAATAAATCATTGCTATTTTGATAGGAACTACATTGAATTTATAGGTTTCTTTGGGTAATATGGACAGTTTAAGAATGTTAATTCTTCCTATCCATGAACACAGCATGTATTTCCACTTATTGTATCTTCTTTAATTTCTTTCTTCAGTGTCTTATAATTTTCTGAGTACAAATTTTACTTCCTTGGTTAAATTTATTCCTAGGTATGTTTTTTAATCCAATTTTAAATGATACTGTTTTCTTAGTTTCCCTTTTTGATAGTTCATTATTGGTGTATTAAATGCAACCAATTTCTGGATATTTATTTTATATCCTGCTACTTTACTAAATTTATTTATCAGTTCTAGTAGTTTTTTGGTTCACTCTTTAGGGTTCTCTATATGCAGTATCATGTTATCTGCAAATAATGACAGTTTTACTCCTTTCTTTCCAGTTTGGATGCCTTTTATTTCTTTCTCTTGTCTGATTACTGTAGCTAGGACTTTCGGTACTATGTTGAATAAGGGTGTTGAAAGTGGGCATCCCTGTCTTGTTCTTGATCTGCAGGGAAATGCTTTCAGTTTTTCACCATTGGATATGATATTAGCTGTGGATTTGTCATTATGTTCAGATGTGTTCCAACTATTCCCACTTTGATGAGAGTTTTTCAGATTATAAATGGATGCTGCATTTTGTCAAAAGCTTTTTCTGCATCTATTGATATAATCATATCATTTTATCATTTGTTTATGTGATGCATCACATTTATTGATTTGTGCATATTGGACCAACCTTGCATCCTAGGAATAAAACCCAGTTGATCATGATGTATGACCCTTTGTTCAGTTATTTATTTGTTTGTTTGTTTGTTTGTTTTTCCATTGCCATTTAGTCCCCTTATATCTCCCTCCCTGCTGCAATCACCACACTTTTGTCCATGTCCACAAGTCCTTCCTATATATCACAGAACTAGAACAAGTATTTTTACAATGTATATGGAACCACACAAGGCCCTGCATAGCAACAGCAATCCCTAGAAAAAAAGAACAAAGTTGGAGGAATCACACTACCTAATATCAAACTACACTATAAGGACATGGTAGTCAAAACAGCCTGGTACGGGCATGAAATCAGACACATAGATCAATGGAACAGAATAGAGAGCCCAGAAATAAACCCACATTTTTGTAGTCAATTAATATTCAACAGAGGAAGCAAGCACATACAAAGATAGTTTATTCAATTAATGGTGTTGGGAAAATTGGACAGATAAGTGCAGAAAAATGAGACTAGACCATATTCTTACACCACATACAAGAATAAATTCAAAATGGATTAAAGACTTAAATGTTAGACCTGAAACCATAAAAATCCTAGAGGAAAAAACAGGCAGTAAAATCCAGGACATTGCTTGTAGCAATATGTATTTACTGATATATCTCCTAAGGCAAGGAAAACAACAACAACAAAAAACCCAAATGGGACTTCCTCAAACTAAAAAGATCTTGCACAACAAAGGAAACCATCAACAAAATAAAAAGACAACCCACAGAATGAGAGAACATATTTAGTGATACATCTGAAAGGAGTTAATATCCAAAATTTGTAAAGAATTTACAAAAATCACTCTGGCTGGTGTAGCTCGGTGGATTGAGTGCGGCCTGCGAACCAAAGTATCCCAGGTTCGCTTCCCAGTCAGGGTACATGCCTGGGTTGCAGGCCACGGCCCCCCGCAACCGCACATTGATGTTTCTCTCTCTCTCTCTTTCTCCCTCCCTTCCCTCTCTAAAAATAAATAAATAAATCTTACAAAAAAGAATTTACAAAAGTCAACACCAAAAAAACTCAAACTAACAAAAACCCAAACAATCTGATTTAAAAAATAGTTAAAGGACCTGAATAGACACTTCTTCAAAGAGGACATACAAATGGCCAATAGACATATGAAAAGATGCTTAATGTTACCACTCATCAGAGGGATGCAAATTAAAACCATAAAAAGTTATCACCTCACACCTGTCAAAATGGGTATCATCAATAAATCAATAAACAACAAGTACTGGTGAGGATGTGGAGAAAGTGAGACCTTCATACACTGTTGTTGGGAGTGCAAAATGGCACTGCCACTGTGGAAATCAGCTGGCCGGTTCCTCAGTACGTTAAACATAGAATTACCTTTTGGCCTGGCAATTCCACTGCTAGATATATACCCAGAAGAACTGAAAACAGGTGTTCAAACAGGAGCCTGTACAGGAATGTTCACCACAGCGCTAGTCACAACAGCCAGAAGGTGAAAATCACCCAAATGCCCGTCAACTGATGAGCGGGTGCACAGCGCGTCGTCCACCCACGCAATGGAAGACTCAGGTGCTGATGCGTGCTGGCATGTGAGTGAACCATGGCGAGAACGTTATGCTAAGTGAAAGCAGCCAGACACAAAAGGCCACCTACTCATTGTATGATGGCATCTCTGGAAGTCTCTGGAGTAGCCACACCTCTATGTACAGGAAGAAGGCTCCTATTAGCCTGGGTTCTGGGGGAGAGGAGAGGTTGTTGGCCTGGGGAGCGGGGCAGGGGGCGGGCAGCGGGGAGCGACTGCCTGATGGGTACAGGGGTTTCTTTTTGGGTGGCCCCAGTGTTGTGGAAGTAGACAGTTGTGATGGCCGTCCGACACCACGAGTGTTTACCCGGTGCCACGGGACCATACGCGTCTGTTGCTTTTTCCATACAACGTTCCTGTCCAGTGGAAAGAGAGAGCTCCGTCGAAGGGAGGGCCCGGTGGGCCGCGTGCCCGGGGCGCCGCCAGCGCCCTCTCTTGGCAGGCCCAGGCCCTCCGGGGCCAATGGGAAAGCGGTGACCTCATGGAACGCCTGTGTCACACACCGTGCGCCTCCACCAACCAGGGGGCCGGTCTGTGGTTGCTAGGATACGCAGTAGGAACCTGTGTACCAGCCATCTAGGGAGGTTGGGACCAACTGCCCAATCTCACCTTGCCGCACCTTGCCGCACCTTGCCGCACCTTGCCGCACCTTGCCGCACCTTGCCGTGCCCCGCAGCACCCCGCAGCGCACTGCAGAGCTACGCCGGTGGGACCAAGAGCGCCCAACGCCCAGCATGCCTGGTCGAAGGAGCCGTAGGGGGGTCGTCCGGTACGGTCACCGTCGCCAGAGGCGGACCCGCACCCGCACCGCCAGAGCTGAGCTGCTTTTCTCGGTCAGCCACCTGGAGCGCCTCCTGCGCGAAGGCCACTACGCCCAGCATCTGACCCCATCTGCACCCGTGTTCCTTGCGGCCATCGTGCAGTACCTGACCGCCACGGTCCTGCAGCTGGCAGGGAGCGAGGCCCAGAGAAGCGGCTGCAGGCGCATCACCCCACAGCTCGTGGACATGGCCATCCACAACAACGCTCTGCTCAGTGTCTTCTTTGGGAACACCACTATTTCCCAAGTGGCCCCGGGCTGGCACTAGCTGCCCAACAGGACATGGCTTCTCCGGGCCTCAGCCCCAGGGCGTCAGGCCTGTTCGCAGCCCAAGTAGCCCGTGCCTGCCTGGTGCCTTGGGCAAAGTCATTGAAAATAAACTGCTTACACTTGAAAGAAACCCATGTGCCTGCTTCGGTCACTGTGTCTGCGTGGTGGTTGAGGGCCTGAACTCCTTGGAGGGATGGGGGGGGGGTGGTGTCTGCTGGTGGGTGAGGGTGGAATCAGGGATGGCGAGAGGAGCGGCCTCTGGGGCTGACGGTGCAGGCCGTGGCCCTGGGTGGGAGAGGCTGCCTGAGATGGCTGTGAGGATGGGGCGAGGAAGACTCCCCCACGGCCTCTGAGCAAGTCAAAGCCCATCAAAGCCCCCCGAAGGATGGTATTCATTGGGGTGGAGTACCCAGACCGTGACTAAGGCATCGGGATAAGGTGACTGTGTCATGCCAACTCGGGTGCTGGATGGAGGAGGGGACAAAGGGGTTGGCATGGACTCCAGTGGGGGCAGTGGATGGAAGGGAAGATTGAGGAGTGGGGGGTGGAAGGCAATCAAGACAGATGCAAAATCGGAATGACGGTGACGTGGGATCACAAGTTTAGTTTGATTCTCGATCCCTTACAGAGGCTAGGAAACACCCTTAGCAACCCCCGGTAAACAAGCTGTTACCTAGCAACAGAGGTGCAGGGCCAGGCCCCGCCTCAAGAACCCGATATTTTGCATATCACTAGGGCAACGAGGGGGGCTCCGGGCTTCGGTGCCAGCGAGGTAGCAAGGCTGGCCTAAGCCAGACGCAGGGCACGTCAGGGCCAACCGCCAGCACTCGCACGTCCACGAGCTGCGTAGGCGCGCCCGGAAGCGCCGGGGCTGGGAACATGGCGGCGTCCGCGAGCGGCTTGGGCGGCGCGGCCCCGGGACCGGATGCCGGGGACTTCCTGGCCAGGTATCGCCAGGTGTCGAACAAGCTAAAAAAGCGGTTCCTGCGGAAGCCTAACGTGGCGGAGGCCGGCGAGCAGTTCGGACAACTGGGCCGAGAGCTGCGCGCCCAGGAGTGCCTGCCTTATGCGGCCTGGTGCCAGCTGGCGGTTGCGCGCTGCCATCAGGCGCTCTTCCACGGGCCCGGGGAAGCTCTGGCCCTCACCGAGGCCGCCCGCCTCTTCTTGCGGCAGGAACGCGACGCGCGCCAGCGCCTCGTCTGCCCCGCCGCCTACGAGGGAGCCACTGCAGGCAGCTGCCAGCGCCCTGGGTGCCGCTGTGCGCCTGCACCTTGAGTTGGGCCAGCCGGCCGCCGCCGCCGCCCTCTGCCTGGAGCTGGCCGCCGCCCTGCGCGACCTGGGTCAGCCGGCCGCTGCCGCTGTCCACTTCCAGCGAGCCGCCCACCTGCAGCTGCCCCAGCTGCCCTTGGCTGCGCTGCACGCGCTCGGCGACGCCGCCTCCTGCCAGCTGTTGGCGCGCGACTACAATGGCGCCTTGGCGCTCTTCACGCGCTTGCAACGCCTGGCGCAGGAGCACGGCAGCCACCCGGTGCAACCGCTGCCGCCGGTCCCGCCGCAGCCACAGCCTCAGGTACAGTCGCAGCCATTAGGCCTCCAGCAAGGACTCGGCGCATCCCCAGCCCTGCAGGCCGCGCTGCTCCCTCCGAATGCGGGCTCTGCAGCCGCGCCCTCTCCCGCAGTACTGGGAGCCTTTTCAGACATCCTGGTACGCTGCGAGGTGTCCCGCGTGTTACTGTTGCTGCTCCTGCAACCCCCCGCCCGCCAAACTCCTCCCAGAGCATGCCCACACCTTGGAGAAGTACTCCTGGGAGGCTTTCGACAGCCACGGGCAGGAGACCAGTGGCCAGCTTCCAGAGGAGCTCTTTCTGCTGCTCCAGTCCTTGGTCATGGCTACCCACGAAAAGGACACAGAAGCTATCAAATCGCTGCAGGTGGAGATGTGGCCACTGTTGAGTGCCGAGCAGAACCACCTCCTTCACCTCGTTCTGCAAGAAACCATCTCCCCCTCAGGACAGGGGATCTGATGACTCACATTAACCAGGTGACTTTTTGCCTGTTACCAGACCTCACGCATCTGCCTTTGCATTTGGGGGAAAATAAAAGACATTGATCACAGCAGTTCTACCTTGGTTTAGCTTATTCCTCTTGCCACCATAAAGACTTATTCCCACAGCAGTGGGAGAAAAAGACAATATGATAAGATCAGAATAGAACACACGCCTCGCTTCCCAAAAACTGCAATATAAATATGAGAATCCTTTTATCTATTTCCTCTTCCACTCGTTGCCCTGCCCCATTTCCCCACCCCTCAATCTTCGTTTCATTGTCAGGATTTCATTTTGCACAGTTGTCGACATATTTAAGCTATGTGATTTTTTAAAATTATGACTAATTTCTCGGTGTATTTCTATATCTGGCTATGTGATCACCCATGTCTTTGTTTTATCTGCCCCATATGTATTCCTGGGAATCATTTGATTCATACAACCATTGCTATAGCCCTAAGGCCATGATAAAGCCATTACAATACTAATTTGTGGTTTAGATGTCCTTAATCTATAAAATGGGTATAACATCTACCTGTTAAGAGTCAGAAAGCAGAAACAGTTCTTTTTTAGTTTCGAGATGTATTTACTTATTTGAAATTGACAGTGTGCCTAGTGTGTGGGCTATGCCAGACAAGGAATCTACAGAGATAATTTGTGATGTGGTCCTTATTGAGACAACACCAGTATAAATGTATCTAGGTTAAGGTCAGGTTGGGGGGTGGAATGAGGGGGTGTGGGGCCCAACCCAATTGTGTGAGGTGTGCACTGAAATTCACATTTATGTTCTATTCTGAGAGGTACCTCTAATCCACATGACCATTTTAATTGTAGTAGGGATCTTTCTGCAACTCTTGTTTATCTCAAATATGTAAAATCAGCATGGTTCTTTGGTGTTGTGTGATTATTTATATGTAAGCCAGTGTCATTCCTCAAAACCACAATGGCGTCCATTTTAAGACACCAAATTTTTAAGGCTTTTTGGTCCAAATATTACATGCAAACCCACTTAGCTGCTTTTTTAAAATTCAGTTTTCTTTACAGTTTCAAAAGTGAAAGAACTCTTCAGAGTATAATCTGGTTCTCAATCATTCAGCTTTGGGAAAATGCATTTTTTAACCTGAAGTTGTATACAGTACTAATCTTTTAGGATAAGATCCAAGGATACAGTTTGGGAGTAGGTTTTTGTTTTGCAGTTTTTTGGGGGAGTAGATATGTGGACAGTTGTCACTATGAGTTAAGTGCCCTAAAATGGGTGGGACTTTTTGGGGTATTCTTTTCTACTTCTGTTTCAACAGTGTGGATGCAATAGGTAAGGATCTACAGGACACACCTATTTGAGACAGGTTGAGCTATGCTTCCTGTGTTCTCATTTGGCTTCCACGAAAGGTCTATTGGGACCCAAAGAACCTAGTCCAGTTTACTGAAAAAGTGGTAAGGGTGCATGCTCCTTTGTGCTTTTGCTTTTTCTGGTATACTCCTCTCACCCTGGGCTGCAAGCCTGGCCTGCTGCCTTACTGTATTATGACAGGAATGCTTAAGAATTATGTAATGTGACTGGTGATAGTATTTGATTTTGGGCTTAAGAAAAGTCCTTCTTAGGCCTCCGATCTAAACTTGCATTGAGGAGGTGGATGGAGGGGATTACCAGAGAGGCAAGTATTTGGATATAATTTTAGGAAGTATAATTTTAGGAAGCACTAAAGATTGTTTTCCATTTGCCATTGCCTCATTTATTTATGTCCCTCAGAAATTTTATAGTAGGGATAGCTGGACCAAGGTTGGATTTCAGTGGTTTTGACAGAGTTCTCTTGCTACATATCATCTTAATATCAAAATTAACACTGATTTCTAACATGACCAAAAATATTTTAAAGGACATAGTCTTTTTTTTAACTTGAAAACCAGAGGGAAAGATCCGCATCATTGAAATATTCATTGACAATTCAAAATTAACATTTAAAATATAAACTTGAAAATGGTGGCAGTAGCCCTGGCTGGTGTGGCTCAGTGGACTAAGTACAGGCCTGCGAACCAAAGGGTCTCTGTTTTGATTCCCAGTCAGCACATGCCTGGGTTGTGGTCCACGTCCCCAATAGGGGGCATGTGGAGAGGCAACCAACCACACGCTGATGTTTCTCCCTCTTCTCTCTTCCCGTCCTTCTAAAAATAAATAAAATCTTTAAAAAATGGAGGCAGTAAATCACTGACCTTTAAAGGGTGTTGGGGGTTCCCCTTTCACTCCTTTATGAGGAACTTCTATGATAAAAATATTTCTTATGAAAAATATTTTGTATGTGAGTGGTGTAAAGATATAAAAACATTTGAGAAATACTACACTGGAGGAAGATTACTACGATGGAAATTTATAAATTAGGCAAGCTCTGGGTTGGAAGGGTTCTGGATAATGTTAACTGTCTGGTATCTCTACTGCTATTAGTCTAGATCACCAGTCCACAGACTTTCTGTAAAGGACCAGATGGAAATATTTTAACCTTTTCAGGCCAAAAATGGTCTCTGTCACATAGTTTTCTTTGTTTTTGCAACTTTAAACATGCAAAAAACCATTCTTAACTCGCAGTCCATACAAAAGCAGGTTGCACACAAGTCCAAATCCATGGATTCTAGTTTTCTCACCCCTTTGCTTGAACCTAGAACATACTACAGTTGGCTCTCAAATTGCACTGGTCCACTTATAGTCAGATATTTTCAATTAACCCATGCAGTTCAAACCCACATCGTTCAAAGGTCAACTGGCAATTGGGATTCCATGTATGTGGAAGGCCATCTTTAAGTTATAAGTGGATTTTCAACTGCATGGGTCATGGGCACCCCAACCCTCTGAGTTGTTCAAGTGTCAACCATACTCAATACCTTAAACTAATGACCTTTATGAGAGTAGTTAATAACTTTTATCCTTATCATTGAACAGGAAAGATTGGCAATAGAATGGCCATCATAAACAAAGCAATAAAGAACAAGTGTTGGAGAGGTTGTGAAAAAAAAAAAAGGGAACCTTAGTGCACTGTTGGTGGGATTGCAGACTGGTGCAGCCACTGTGGAAAACAGTATGGAATTTCCTCAGAAAACTAAAAATGGTACTGCCTTTTGACCCAACAATTCCATTGCTGGGATTATATCCTGAGAACCCTGAAACACCAATCCAAAAGAACCTAGGCACCCCAGTGTTCATAGCAGCACAATTTACAATAGCCAAGTGCTGGAAGCAACCTACATGCAGCAGAAAGAAAGAAGGAGCTCCTACCCTTTGCAACAGCATGGATGAAACTGGAGAGCATTGTGCTGAGTGAAATAAGCCAGGTAGTGAAAGACAAATACCATACGATCTCACCTTTAACAGGAACCTAATCAACAAAATAAATGAACAAGCAAAGACACTGAAATAGAGAACAGGCTGATAGTAACCAGAGGGGAGAGGGGAGGGAATTTCAGGGGGAAAGGGTGAAGGGTTTGCAGGAACAAGTATAAAGGACACATGGACAATAATGGGGGGAGGGTGGAAACAGGAGAGTGGTGGGGAGGGCTGGGGTGTTGGGTTGGGGTGGGGGGAAAAGGCAGAAAACTACTTGAACAATTAAAAAGATTGATAATAAATGAACTAGTCATTCAACTGCAGATTCTAGGAAACAAAAATACACCAATAGAAAGTGAAAGACAGTTTTTAAAGTTTTGAATGGAAATTAATGAATTGTAAAACAACACCTTAAAAGTCTATGTTCAATTTTTAGACCAAGAGTTGATTCTTTGAATTTCCAAAAGAATAGACAGCACTCACTAACTCTGATAAAGGGGAGAAAAGAGATATATATGTGTGTATGTAGCTAAAGCTACATAGCGTGGTAAGGGAGATAGGACTCCAATGTACACATTTATAGCAATTAATTACAGGTAACAAAATGAGAATGCCAATAATGACGTATCTACCACTAAATAAGGCACAAAACTCAAGCAGCTTTTCCATCTGACTTTCATTAAACCCATGATTACTATATTGTTTAAACTATTTTGAAGTAATAGTTTAATGGAAAAGAAAACAAGCTTTTCTACTTTATTTTCAAGTTCAGTATAACTTTCATGCCAAAACCTGATAAATAGAGCCTCTGAAAAAGGTAAACCAATTTTATTGATTCGTATAGATAGAAAAATTCTAAATAGGATGCTCACAAATTAGGCAAATTAGATCCAGATAAGTTTTAAATGATTAATACACTGTGACAGAGGGCAGTTTTCCCAGGAATGTAGCACAGTACTGTGCTGGAGCTTGCTAGTACTGGCTTGTGAGAGCCAGTTATGCTCATGTGTTCCAAATCTACATTCAGTGACATATACCAGCAGCTTGGGACCTGGTATGATGGGAATATTTACATCATAGATCAGCAAATGCTACAGATAAGGGCTTTACCCCTAATAGCCGCTCCCCTGCTTTTTGCCCCAGTCAGTTGTTAAACATTTGCCAGCACACCATTGAGTATAAGTATAATTTGAAATGTGATCATATGTATCAAAGATGCTCAAAAAGCATTTGATGAAATTCTGCAGTCATTCCAAACAAAGTAAGAATAGAAGGGAACTTTTTAAACATGATAAAAGGTATTTGTTTGAAACTAACAGTGAACATTATATTAAGCAGTGAAATATGGGATCCATCCCCATTAAAGTCAAGAACAAGATAGTCTTATTATATACATACATTATATATAGGGTCCGGCACAAATAATGCCCCTTTTTGTTACAAAATCTTTTATTACAAAATCATAAGCATGTAATTCTGTAACATAACAGTATCACACTTAAGCACACCATGTGACATGTAGGTGAAATGTTGAAATTAAAACTATAAATTACTACACCCATATTATTACTTTACCAACCACAGTCAAGCAGGCCTTACTTCTGCGGGACCCTGTATATCTGTATATGTGACTTGTGTCTGTGTGTATGTATATTAATATATTAATCATAGATACATTTAGGTTGCTTGCTATTTCCTGCTTAGCAGGTCCTATCAGCATATTGTCATTAATGTTATGGACCAGTATGGTGTTTTGTGTGGTATCAAGATGTTTGGACTAATTTCGGTCTATATTAAGAACAAGGAAGTTGACATCAACCTGAGGCATGAACAGTAAAGTTAATATTACTCTTGTTGCTGCTGTATAAATGCAAATAGTTTGGAAGGAAAAAAAAATTCCCAGTCAAAAGTTCCATATCAGTTGCCTAGTTCTGTGTTAATTTGTTCCAGAGAAAATATTACATCTGGAGTTGCAATTTTTTTTCATCACCACCTGATTAAATTTGTGATGATGTGTCATTTTCCCATGATTCTTCTGGGTTTTATAATAACCAAACAGGGTCGCTAGTCAACTCTTCCAGGTGTAGTCACTGAGACACTTTTATGCAGAGAAAGGAGGACTGCTTCAGAGACTGGGGAAAGGTTGCCTTCTTAGGTAGGGGAGGTTCAGGGAAGTATGGAGGTTTGTAATTCTCAGCCTTATCCATGCCTACCTAAGTGTACTCATACCAGGTCTCAGAGTTCTTCTCCTTTCCAGCAGTGCCCTTACCCTAGCATAATAGACCTTGTGGGGTTGAGCATTTAATTGTCTCCACAACTCTGCAATTCATATGCTCAGCCCCTAGACTTGGTCTTAAGTCCAAGTATCTGCTTATAACCACAGGATATGGAAGACTCCTCCACAGCTCCATGGATGTATCCTGATTCTCCATGTATGTTCATGGGTGTTCTTTTTTATGTATATTCACACCATTTAATTTCATTTTCCCTATGTATGCCATAAAAAGAAAAGTCATTCTACAATCAGGTGGTGCTACACTTGTTGCCACAGCGACTAAACGTCACTGTCAATT